ACAGGGGCTTGGCATCTCCAGTCTCACATCCAGGGAGCAAGATGTGAAATCTTGGGCGAGTTACCTAGCTTCTCTGTGTCTTGCTTTTCCCATCTCTGAAATGGAAATATGAATAGGGTTGTTGCATGTATGTAATGAACATAGAGTAGTGCCTGGCATGGAGTAAAAGCATAATTAATCTTAGCGCCATCAAGTGATCCTTGCTATTGCGTGAACCCACAGAATTTCATTACAGGTTATGTCAATTCTGTAACTGGGGGAGTGTCTGTCTTACTCCTCATTTCATCTCCCTGCTCCCCATCCTTCCTAAGCCAGAAAAAAACCACCCAACTTAAAAACCTGCCTAATGATTTTTGTGAATATCATTTGGCAGGTGACAAATTCAAGCAAGTTTAAGAGTTCTTTTGGGCATTGTGAATTCTTTCATTTCTGATGCAAAATAATTATATGTTCTCCATAACATGTAATGGTCAGTTGTTTACTGAACACAGCACTGAGTTCCAGTTTTCTCGACCGTAAAGGAGAAATAAAACTGTGCCCGCCTCACAGGTTATTATGAGAATCAAATGTGATGGAAATGTGGAAACTATTTATAAACTATAAAAAGAAAGGGTTACACACAAATGAAGGTGAATGGTAACACAGAAGTAGGTTTTATTATCTAGAAATAAACATGATTATTTTTCTGGCAGCTCCCAGAAGGAGGACTGGATGTAGACCTAAAGCAGGACATCCTAGGATTCGAAGTGTCACTAAGGATGTGTAGAGCTGAAACAGGTCAGCTTCCCTGTGGATTTGGGACTGAGGCCAGTAGGAGGCATGAAGTCAGATGTTTCTCCATTGCATGGAAATTTCGTCTTTCCGTGAAGACAGTGGGGGGGTTGGCCCAGAACATAGGTTTTCCTTCCCGGGCAGCCATAATTAGGGAAAGTTCACTTAGAACATGGCTGAAACGGTGTGCATGGAGCCTTAGAAGCTGAGTTTCCCATATTTGCTTTTCCAGAATTTGGTTTCCTCAGAATTTTTCTGTAATGCACCACATCCCCTGCAAATGGGGCCCTTTCTTGTACGGATAAATGATGCTTCATGCCGTTGTGTTACTATGGTAACGTACAAAAGCTAGGTGACTTTTTCCATTAGCCCTATCTCTGAGAGCCTTTTGAAAGCGTGTTTGAACAGGTCCTGCTCTCGGGGCTGCCCGCTGAAAGGGTTGGCAATGGGAAGTGGAGGCTGGGTCAACCAAAAAGGAATAGCCTGACACTCTGAATTGGGTGTTTTGTGCTCGGTTCCCCAGCAGTGCCCTCAAGTCACAGCCACCCGGAGGGTTTGGTAAACCAGATTGCCAGGTGGGAAACGGGAGCATGTGCATGGCTAACAAGTCCCCTGGTGTGGGTTATGCTGCTGCTGGGGAGGCGGGAGTGGGGTGGGAGGACACGGGGGGAAGCACTGCTCTTCAGTCAGTGGCTGTGAGGGAAGCTTCTGGCTTAACCAATTGCATTTTATCTACAAGTGCATTCTGGCATTTATAAACGCCACTGTGGATTTATGAGCAGCTATTAAAGGTGCCTGCCTCGTTGACCAGAGCAGAGTGAGAACCCTTGCTGAAGTCTCTCCATTGTTCTAAGTGTTTTGTACTTTATCCAGGGGAAATGTGAGGATACCACGTTACTAGACTTAAGCTAACCAATGCTAATCGTGTCTTTCTTTCTTCCTTCCTTTCTTTCTTTCTTTCTTTCTTTCTTTCTTTCTTTCTTTCTTCCTTCCTTCCTTCCTTCCTTCCTTCCTTCCTTCCTTCCTTTCTTCCTTTCTTTCTTTTTTTATTACCAAAAGTGGCTGCTGTTCTGCTACTATTTCAAATATGTATATTTTTTATCCTCACCCGATGATATATTTTATTGATTTGAGAGAGAGAGAGAGAGAGAGGAAGGGAGAGAGAGAGAAACATCGATAGGTTGCCTCCCATACATACCCTGACCAGAGATCAAACCCGTGACCTTTTGGTGTATGGGACAAGACTCCAATCGACTGAGCTACCCGACCAAGGCCATTTTAAATATTTTTAATCACTTCATTTTTAAGTATAAACTTAAGGTATAAACTAAACTTTAATGTGTTTTAAATTGCATCTAGATAGAGACTTGGGTGCTTTTGCTTTTGTTTTGCTTCCCTCCCCTCCCCCCACCATGAAATGTCAAGTTTTAAAAAGCCTGAAATAAGAAAGCCTGAAATCTGGGCTACCAGAACGTCTCTTAGGAACTCTTCATTTCAAGTACAAGACACATTCTCTTTAGACCAGTGGTTCCCAGCCTTTTTTTTGGCCATGCCTCACCTAAGCATCTCTAAGATCCTGATGCCCCCCTGTGACATATAATCCTTACTATTCAAAAAGTGAACTCCTATTCATGTGGAGGAAGCCAAAAAGGCCATTAACTTGGTTTAAACAAGTTTCCAAAGAATATGGCATCCAGGAAAGAGAAAAATAAAAGAATGAAAGAACAGTTGAAGTAATGAGGGAGAAATCACTAAGGAATTGTTTAAAATAAAAATAGTAATATGGAATTATATGAAAAAAATAGCAAATAAAGTTTCAAAACACCAGAGAACTGAAATGCATAAATATGTCTATATTTATATATATATATTGTGTATATATATATATATATGTATATATATATATATATATAACTTATGAGGCCCCTAGAACCATAAGAAATACCAAAAAAAAATTACTGTTAATAACTCATTCTCGAATTATCTTCCTTAAAAATCAAATTATCTCCCTGTAGGGCATGTGCCCCATGTTGGAAATCACTACTTTATTCCAAATCTAAAAATCTGGGTAAATTCTTTTGAAATGTTATGAATTGGTTGTATTGAAAATGACTTAAATAAATCATTACCTAGGCTTAAAGAACAAGTTGGAAGTTTATTGAAATGGAGTTTTCATGTATTTGCTAGTGCTTTTTATTAAATCATAGGAAACCATTTTCTTTCATGTAGCGTCTCTCCCCCTTGTCAAGTGAAATCTCAGTACCTTTGCTTTTAATTTTTCATTGTCCCCTTACCTTGCAAAGCTTTCCATTTCCCCCACCTTCTCCTTCTTCTTTCTGGTACTTCTCAGGTACTCGTAGGTGGTTAGGGCTTCCTCCACAAGGGATGTACACATAGCTGCATTGTGTAACAAGCTTGTACATATAACTTAATGGAATTCCAGCCTGCTATTGCCTTGCTTTTGTTTTTGTTTCTTAATCTTTGAATATGTTAACGTTTCTGGCTAGGAACCTCGGCAGCAAAGTTCTGCCCCTCCATATCCTGCCTCGGATTAGCATTGGCTGGTACTTGCCCTCTCTTTCCTATCTGTTTGAGGGCTGCTTGGGGGCAGAGACCAGCCTTCATCTCTGCCCTTGGCCTTTCTGAACACAGGTGGAACTTCAGCAGCAACTACTAGATGCTACGATAGCGTTTGAAGTAAGAGGACCCAGGCTTGTGTGTGAGATTTTTTTGTTGTTGTTTGCTCATTCGCTCTTGGTTTGTTTTTTGTTTTCTTTTGTTTTGAAGATCATTACTTTTAGGTCAAAATATTGGATTCTTACAAAGAGGTCCTATCTCCAGCTTGAGTTCCTTCAGGCTTATGATCTGAGTTTGAATGAGGTCAGTCAGTAAACAAGTCTCCTGGGCACTTAGAGGATAGTTGCACCTTAACTGCTCCTTCAGCATCTTTGCCAGGTCTGCGGCCTTCTCTGTGTAATTAGTGTTCTTCCAAGAGGTACAGGAGATTAACCGGCTAAATGGTACACGTAATTTGGTGACACAAAAGCGGCCAATGCTGATAAATGAGAGGTTTGCAATTACACACTCTGCTCCCTCCCTCCGCAGGCCTTGGCAACCAACTGGGGAAACACAAACTTAGGATATTTTTTTTAATTGAAAGAACCAGGGGGTTAGGGGAGAGGTAGAAGAGAATAAAGGGGGAATAAATGGTGATAGAAGGAGACTTGACTTGAAGTGGGGAAAACACAATACAATATACAGATGTATTATAGATTTGTACACCTGAAACCTGTGTAATTTTATTAACCCATATCACCCTGTAATTTTTAAAATTTTAATTTAACTTTTAAAAATAAGACATGGACATGGACAACAGTGTAGTGAAGGTCTGGAGTGGGGTGGAGGTGGGGCAGAAGGGGGCAAAGGGTAATGGGGGGACATATGTAATACTGTCAACAATTAAAAAAGAAGGAAGAGCTCGAGGCCTGTAACTGTGAGTGGCTCTGCGGAATTGGCATGTGAACCATGAAGGGACATAAACTCTTCACCGTGTCTGGCACCCAGCTCAGATGGAAGCTCTGGGCTTGGGCACTTCTCTCCTTGGGATGGCTCCTGGGTTGTTATTTTGCCTCGGAGGAGCATGTCATTGGGCCAGTTTGCATGCTATGCACACCCCCTGCCAACAAACTGAAACAATGACAGGTGTTTTTTTGCACATAGCAGACCTTGGGTGTTATAATTAGGGTTTCAGGGGATGAATCACAGGTCCCTGAACTAGAATAAAGAAAGCAAGCCTGGGGCCTGAGCATTTTTTTAGGGAGGTGAGGTAAACTCAGACATTACCCAGTTGGGGAATCCTCCTGGATCTGGACTCTTTCTGAACCTCATCAACCACAATCCTGCCCCCCACCCCCAGAAACACACACAAAACAAACACACTGATGCTGGTCACTTAGTGTTCACAGATGCACACCCTCTGGTTGCCACCTCTACATGCAAGCCATTCAGGACACACTCCTTCTCTGCCAGTCTCAGTTAGATCCTCGGTATTCTTTTTCCAAAATGAAATGGAAATCAGAATCTACAAACAAAAAGAATCTAAAAAACATGCACAGCCCTAGCCAGGTTGGCTCAGTGGATAGAGCCAACCTAAGGGTCCTGGTTCGATTCCAGTCAAGGGCACATATTAATACCTTGGTTGCAAACTCCTCCCCATTCCAAGCCCTGGTCAGGGCTCGTGCAGGAGGCAACCAACTGATGTGTTTCTCTCACATTGATGTTTCTCTCTCTGTCTTTCCCTTTCTCTTCCACTCTTCTCCTAGACCCCCCAAAGAAAGCCCAAATTTGATTCACTGGAGGAATCCTCTTACTAGGTTTAACCAGCAGGTAGGTATCCTACCAGATCTCATTCTGGGTATGGATTCAGATATTTGTATATTCACTTTTTTCCTTCAAAATGCCATTTAGTAGATTATGTTTCTAAATCTGCCTCTTCTTTACAGTATATAGAGAAACTATTTCTGTGGCAAACAATATAAATATATCCTGTCAACCTATAATTTTTTAATAACCAGGACACATTCCATTATAGAACTATCATTGTTTATTTATGTACCCCTTATTGATTGAGATGTATTAGATTGTTTCAGACTTTTAAATAATCAAACCTGAAATGAAAAATTTTGCAGCTAAATTATTATTAGCGCCTTTCAATTATCTTCTATGGACTAATCCCCAAAGTTGAATTACTAAGGTCAAAGGTACACACTTTTTCACCTTTTAAAATGTTTTGACAATCTGCCCTCCAGAACATCTGTACAAATTGATACTTCTACCACCCATGTGTCAATACCTATTTATCAGCAACCTTGCCCATGGTGAATATTATCATTTTTTAGACTCTTCTAATTATGTTGGAAAATTGTATCTAATTGTTTTAATTTGTATTTCTTTGGGTAAGACCAAAGTTTGGTACAATTTAAAGATTCTTCATGTTTGAATATTTGAATTTACTTGCTTATAAATTCCCTGTTTCTGTCCTGAGACCATGTTTTGAGTAGGTTGTTTTCGTGTTGATTTGTAAGCAGTTTTTTAAAAATTAAATTGAAAATATTTTCTTCATTTTGCCCTTTAAACTTTTATGTGTTGTGTTTAGGTTTACAGAAGCATGTAAACCTAAACACAACAGGTGAGTGTATTTTGTGTTTTTACAGTTAAGGACTTAAAATCTGTTCATTATTCCATGTGATTTCTACGTTTGCATAATACTTAGTCTTGGGGTAGGAAAGCATTTCAATGACTGTTTGATCTCTCATTTTCCCTTATACTTTTATGTTGTGACTTTTTGGGTTTAAATTTCAATTCTTTGGGGATGCGTTTTGGTGTAAGGTGTTAGATAAGAGTCTAACTTGCCTTTTGTTAAATAATGATCCAGTTACTCTAACACCATTTGTTGAGTAATTTGTTATCTACTTACTGAATTCAAACCCCACTTTTGTCACTTGATACCCAGTTCTTAGAAGTATTGGGTCTGTTTGTGGAATTTCTGTTCTGTATTTTTGTTTTGTTCACTAATATGAGGCTCGCCCTGTAATGAATCATTCTTTTGCATTGGGAACACATCATTGCCCCAGAAAGTTGGGGCAGAAAATACTGAGAACTGGGAAAGCAGATAATGTGTTACAGTGAGTATCACTTCACTTCTCCCTCTCTGGCAAGACTTCTCTCTCCCTCCCACCCAGGGCATGTTGGAAGAAGAAACACTTGTGGTGGTGGAGGAAACAAACATTTATTGTGGTGACAGAGAGAAGGATTACTTACCATGTTTCAGTCCCTTTGGAGAAAGGATGTCTTTCCTCACTCACCCTCAGCTTGGTTGAGGACTGATGAGCATTGGGGCTCTACTGAAAGGCATGGCGAACCTGCCTGTGCTCTCCTATTCTTTCTGGAATTTGTGCTTTGCGGGATTTGGGGGTCACGAGGCAGGCCTACAATCCACCGTGTGATACTCTGGTTAACAGAGACTCTATTTTCATGTCCCCTTCTCAAATGGGAGTGCCGTGGAGAATGCCGTGGCATACCCAGCACCCCACACCAAACCCAGCACATCTCCCTGGAACAAGGAATGATTGAAACATCTAAAAGGAACTTAGCTGGCAAGTGAGGACATTTTCTATATTAAAGCATACTCAGATGTATTAGTGAATAGAATGGAAAATTGAAATATCAAAATTAACTTTCAACACATAAAACCTCAAATAAATTAGGGTGTGTTTTTCCCTTTGTTTTAGACCAGGGGTCGGCAAACTCATTAGTCAACAGAGCCAAATATCAACCATAAAATGATTGAAATTTCTTTTGAGAGCCAAATTTTTTTAACTTAAACTTCTTTTAACACCACTTCTTCAAAATACACTCACCTAGACCATGGTATTTTGTGAAAGAGCCACACTCAAGGGGCCAAAGAGCCGCATGTGACTCTGGAGCCGCAGGTTGCCAACCACTGTTTTAGTGCCCCCAGACTCTAAAGAAATGAGTATAAGTTCCTTTTCTTTGCCATTTCTGGGATTTTAATGAAAATGTTTGAGAAATACTGTCCCATGTGGATGACTGATTTTCAGATATTTAGAGTAGAATAAGACAGTAACTAAAGTAAATAACTTTATCATATTCTTCTTACTTTGAATTTAACTTGCTTTTATTTTTCAAACTTTTCCTATAGTAAAAACTTAAATTATTGATCTTAGTTCTTTCTTCTTTGCTAATATATTTATTCGATCTTATAAATTTGCCTCTAAGTGCTGCTTTAGCCACATCCCACACATTTGGATGAGTTGTATTTCTATTTTTATTTAATTCAAAATACATTTTATTTCTGAGATTTCTTCTTTGATCCATGTATTATTTAGAAGTGTGTTGCCTAATCTTCAGTATTTAACTCCTTTGTGGTCTAAAAGTAAACATGGAATGATTTCTAGTCTTTTAAATTTATTAGTGTATGTGTTATAGTCCAAAATGTGATCTGTTTAGATAAATGCTCATGTGAGCTTGAGAAAGAATGTGTATATATACAAAATAGTCTATTGATGTCAATTACATCAAGTTGTTTGATGGTGTTGTAGAGTTCAATTGTGTCCTTACTGATTTTCTGCCTGCTGGATCTGCCTATTTCTGATAGAGGAGTGAAGTCTCCAATTCTGATAATGGATTTCTCTATTTTTCCTTGCAATTCAATTAAATTTTGCCTCATGTATTTTGACATTCTATTGTTAGGTGCATACACATTAAAGATTGTTATGTAATCTTTATCATTGTTATGTTATGTAACTTCATCATTCTTTAATGGTTCAGAAGCTATTTCAGGGTCTCTCAGTGCCTGAAGGTCATCACTAGTAAACTTTGATTCCCATATGGTACCTGTAATTATTGCAGAACTTCCATTGCTACCTGTGAATTACAAGTTCCAGTGAGTAGTTTTCTCCCTGGCTTAGTTAAGCAAAGTTCTGCTCTATTTTAAATTTCCTTGGGGGAGAAAAAAGTACAAAAGGCTTACTCCAAGTTCCTTTATTGGGATCAAATGCTCTATTAGGATCAAGAGAGTGGTACCCTAAAGAAGGCCGTCATTTCAAATAAGCTCTTATTTTGAACCTTCTGTAGGTTGTAAAAGGTTTTGGTGAATGAACTGGTTATGCCTCAGTGAATAACTTAAAAGTTAGATATTTACGCTTAGGAAAACAACATCAACTCACTGTGTAATATGAACTTATTTCTTGTGAAGTGCCTCTTTCCTTTACGGCGGAAGAGAGGGAAGATAAACAAAAGTCCTTTCAACTGAATTGGATTTATCTTTTATTTCTGATAAAAAGGCAGGACTTTTTTCCCTTTTAACAGTAATAACAGAGGCATTCAGAGTACCTCCACTGTCATCCCGTATAGACTATCTCCAAGTGATCAAACAGTTGTGGTTTTCATAAGCTGGGGCTAGTGTAATGCGGTTCTTAATTCACCAGTGATAGCCACTTTATTCACTTAATGCTGTATTATAGAGCTAATGGGCTGAATAACAAAAATAAGATTCATCAGCTCAAAGTGAGGGATGCTATTTACTTGTTTGTTGAAGGTACTTATTTTATACATGGATTGTGCAGATTCTCTGCAGGGTTTGGTGATATTAATGAAGAGGCCTGCGACCTAGCTTGGTGCCCTGCCCCTGAATTTCTCATAGCTTGTAGCAGAAGTAGACACACAATCTTTCTCAATATGATGAGATACACAGCAGGCATCTAGGGATCAAGAGGAGGGTTCTTGGTGTGACAGGGTAATGTACTCTTTGAGGAGATAATGGCCACCACTTAGCACACATAAAGCACTTCAAGAAATATGGTAATTTCTTGAAGTGCTTTATGTGTTTTGCAAACTCCTTTAACCCATCTAGAAATCCTGTTTTGCAGATGAGCAAACTGAGGCACAAAATATAAAGTAACTCACACAAGCTCCCACAGTCAGCAGGTGGAAGAATTGGGATTTGAACCCAGAATCCTTGCCTGCTGATCTAGCCATCTCACTAGTGTGCTTCTCTGTGTTGGTCATGGAAGGCTCTAAATGCTGAGGTGTCTGGAGTCACTCGAATGAGAGAATGCCATTTTTCAGCAGACATTAGATTCAACTTAATCAGATTTTCAGACAGCCACTCCCCTAAATATTTACCATATTGAGAGTACTTTCCATGCATGTAAGTGTCATGCTGGCTAAAAATAAATCTTATTACTTCCCAACACTGTGAAATATCATAAAGAAATGAGTGTGGTAGAGTCCTTTTTTTCTCTCCTTTGATCAAGACTTCAGATGTGCAAAAGACAGATCACATGAGTTGTCCTACCTGACATTTTTTGTTGTGACCAGACAACCTCAAATAAGAAATTCACTAGTGGAGGCCTGTTGGCATTTCTGCCATAATTTTTTTTAAATATATTTTATTGATTTTGTACAGAGAGGAAGGGAGAGAGATAGAGAGTTGGAAACATCGATGAGAGAGAGTCATCGATCAGCTGCCTCTTGCACACTCCCTACTGGGGATATTGCCCGCAACCAAGGTACATGCCCTTGACTGGAATCGAACCCAGGACCTTTCAGTCCCCAAGCTGACGCTCTATCCGTTGAGCCAAACCGGTTTCGGCTTCTGCCATAATTTTAAAAAATATATTTTTACTGACTTCAAAGAGGAAGAGAGAGGAAGAGAGGGGAAGAGGAAACATCAGTGAAGAGACAGAATCATTGATTGGCTGTCTCCTGCATGCCCCATACGGGATTGAGCCTGAAACCTGGGCATATGCCTTGATTGGGAATCGAACCATGACCTCCTGGTTCATAGGTCAATGCTCAACCACTAGGCCATGTTGGCCTGGCTCTGCCATAAATTTTTTAAAGGAGTAGTTTTAAAGGATGATCTCTTTCATTTATGCCTGAAAGTCACAGCACGTGAACTGTAGTCTCTAAAGCCCTCTACTAGGGTGCTGGCTTCACCTCCTCCTCACCCCGTTTCCACACCTCCCCAGTGACATTCCCCCAGATAATAGCGGAACATGGCAGAGTCTTTAACACTTTTACCTTAACACATTTAGTGCTTCCCAGTCCAACTAAAGATAGAATCTGGGTTAGCACATTTGCTAATAGCTGGCTTCCTTTCAGACTCTTCACTCCCAACTTTAGCCATGATACATACCTACAAAAAAAAGTGCAGGCATTTCCATTGACTTGGTGGAGTAGCTGATCAGAACAAAATAGCATTTATGGTTTCACCTGCCCATGGGGACTTTCTTCATGCAGTTGGCATGACCCTTGCACCTCTGAATACATAGTTTATATCTGGATCCTCAAGTGTTAGCGTCCACTCATGATTATTAAAGGCGATTTTCCCCCTTGGGTAAAGGTGAAGGTGTACGCATTGGCATACTGTATCGCCAACACGTGAAACAGCCAGTGGGACGGACCTCCTTTGCAATGAGTGAGCAGCTGGAAAAAGAAAATGTACGTTTTAAAAATCAGTGTCTCAATTAAAGGATCTTACTTGATAATCCTTTTCTACAGTTATCTGGCCTTAATTGGTTTGCTTAAAGTGGATCATCTCCACTGAAGTGCCCCTCAATTCCCACCCCCCATAGTGACTGCTTGGTGGTTAAAAGCCCATCCTGCTGGCCCATGCAGGGGAGGGGAGGGAAATGCTGACATTTTAGGGAGCCAGAAAACTAAATTATCTCCTGAGGTTTAAATACACAGATAGTAGCTCCTTATAAAAATCCCGTTGTTCTCAGAGCTGAGTGCCTGCCTGTGTTTTCCGCGGGGCTTCTGCACACTGCCCCACAGGCTTTCTTGATCTTCACTTACGTCACCTAATATCTAGTGACCCACTCTCAAACATTTCTTCCTTGATTGATGCTCTTAGTTGTAACGTTCAGTCTGAGAAAGAAAGGTTGAACCTTTTGGAACGAAACAGTCCCTTTGGGTCAAAATTCCCTCATCTTTTTCGCTTGCAACCCAGAACCTAAGGAACCAGAATTGCAAGGAGCTGTTGAGTGATGACAAGGAAAAGACTTTGGTGAAACGAGCCTGCTCTTTCCCAGCAGACAAGAAAATAAATGTTTTTAATCCCTCCTCGATGGGCTTCACCTACTAATCAGGGAACAACGCTTTCTGGCTGTTTGCTCTTCGCCTCTGAGAGGAGCTGCCTGAAGCGGGGACAGGGTTCTGCTCCTGTGGTGACTGTTCCCAGGCCAAGGGCGGAGATGGTCTGTCTGAGAGGCAGCTTCTCTGCAGAGAGCCCCACAGGCCTGCCCTGCAGATGTACAGTTTATCTGAGTTCCCAGCCTTGAGAAGTGAACCAGAGAGGGGTGTGGGTACGTTTGTTATGCCAGAAAATGGGATATGATACGTGCCTTCCATGGAATATACCATTACACAAGGCAGGTACCAGCTGCCCTTGTGATTGGGAGAGAGAGTCAAGCCCTCTCTCCGATGTGCGGGGTCTTCACCCCTGAGGACCACACAGCCCAGAGCCCGGCTCTGCTCAGCCAGGAATGCCCTCTGGGAGCTGTGATGTCATCTGATTCCACGGCGAGCAGAGCCGAGCCAATGTGGGTGAACGGCCTCACTGTTTGGCCTTGAAGATAACAGTCATTAACTTTTGTGGAAAAGCATGTTTAGGCTCCCAATAGAAAGCAGTGAAGAAATCTGGGTTGTTCTGAACTACCCACCTACATACTATCCTTGGTTTTCTCCACTTTAGCCTCT